GCGGCTCATCTCTGATTCCGCAAAAAGAAAAGGAAACAGTGGGGACGCACGTTCTAACCTAACCTAACCTATTCTGATAAATTATCATAATTATTACCAATTATATTATTAGAATAGGTTAGGTTAGGTTAGAACGTGCGTCCCCACTGTTTCCTTTCGTTTGCTGGAATCAGCGGTGAGCCGCCAGCGCTGCCGCGGCGCAGTAGTCGCCGCCGTTCGCTCGCGTCGTCACGTGACACGTCATCTCCAAAGCGGTCTGGTTTCGAGGCTAAAACAGGAAGAGCCGCCATGACAGTCTACGACCCTGAACATTCACCAACTTTTTAAAACAAACAACATAAAGCATTAAGATTATTATTCACTCATAAGAAAATCTTTAGTAGTTTGTATGTATCAAAAAAGTTTTAAAAAACATTTGACAATACTTAAGAAGTTGTACTTTAAATATACATACAATGTAAAACATGTATTCATAGCATGTGTAATATATACATATAGTGTATTTATATTTCAATTTGCTAATAACCACAGTAACTACAAATAAGTTAGTATAACATTAGTTGTTAAATATTAAAACAGTATATCATCAGTTGTTAATATATAAACATATACATAACAATTAATGATGTATCAAACTAACCTGCTGATTATCATACAAATGTCTGATAAGCCAAATTTGACGTTTTTTCTTAAAAGACCACGAATCACGACGAAGTTCCCATTCGTGTAAATAATCTAATGCATTTTTACTCGCCAATGCTTTGTTGACTTCATTTTCTTTTCGTGTATTTAACTTTTCTTCTTTAAGCTTCTTCCTCTTTAATCGTTTTCTTTCTTTATCTTCTGGATTTGCTTTTCTTTTGATTTTTACTTCTTTACTCGGATCATCTTCCTCCTGTACAGATTCTTCTTCGGTCTGAATATTTTGCATATACTGATGAGATTTTTCTAATATCCAGTCTTTAAATTTTTGTCTACTTGTCTTGCCCATTTTAAAAAACTTCAGAAATATTCTCACGTGTTGCCACTACAAGGCTGTCCCCTGGTGATAAAATCAGAATGAGAATAATANATCTCTTATGTAATAGTACCTATCAATCAGATTACAAGTCTTCTCCGCACCCAGGTGCCCAGAAAGAGGAGAGCTGTGGAATGACCAGATCACTTGATCCACCATTTCCTCACCTACGCAAACACGTACCTTGTTCCCGAGCCCCATTCTTCCTGGCTTTACGTGCACAATCATATCATTTTCCATCATAAACTCGGGTTGAATCCCCCCGACTAATTCGTTATGCTCGCGTCTTTGTAACTCGCGGTTTTTCCGCATCTGCTTAAGGAACTCGTCCCCCCATTGAGATGCAACAACCCTTTTCCAAATCTCATAGTTATCAACCGCGTAACTACATACTGCGCGGTCCCCCTTTTCGTTTTCCATGCCTATTCGTGACAAGGCGTCAGCCACTTCATTATGCCTTCCCTTTATATAATTTATCCTTATATCGTAATCGGCCAGTTCGGTCGACCACCTCATCAATCTTTTATTATGGTTATTCATGTTTCCCATGAATATCAGAGGCTTGTGGTCAGTGTGGATTTCTATTGGGTGACCCAGGGCCAGGGGCTTAAAATGACGCAACGATGACACTATGGCCAAGCATTCTTTCTCAACGGTTGAATAATTCCGTTCCGTTGCGCTAAATTTTCGGCTGAAATAACCCACTGGGCACAAACCTTCCTTTTTTTTCTGCCCTAACACCGCACCAATGCATTCATCCGATGCATCCGTATATAGGTGAAATGGGGCGTCAAAGTCAGGGTGACGTAATAAAGGAGGGTTTGATAATATATCTTTAAATTTATCGAAACTATTTTGGCATGAGACATCCCATGAGAATTTTTTGTTCTTCTTGGTCAACGTGGTTAACGGCATAGCGAGATCAGAAAAATTAGGTATAAAGCTCCTAAAGTATCCGATCATGCCCAAAAAACTCCTCACCTCTCTTACATTCTTAGGGGGGTTTATTTCGCGTATCGCTCTTACATTATCCCCATCTGGTAATATCCCTTTTTGGTTAATGATGTGCCCCAGATATTTAACTTCGCTGACAATGAAGCGGCTCTTGTTGGGATGCAGTTTGAGATTCTTAGTATATAAGATCCCTATGACTTCGTCCAATAGAGTTATGTGATCGCTCAAGGATTTCGAGAATAATACCACGTCATCCTGAAAGACGTAGCAGCTTATACCTACGAAACGGGCAAGAACTCTAGACATCACCGCCTGAAAGAATCGGCCGCTGTTTTTGGCTCCCTGGGGAAGGCGACACATCTGATACTTTCCCCAGGGGGTCGAGAAAGCATACACGTGTCTCACCGACGGATCTAGGCTTATCTGAAAGTATCCCGATTTCAAATCTAAGACTGAGAAGTATCTACTTCCGTGAAATTTACTCATTATTTCGTCCACACGGGAGATTGGGAATTCTTGGGGGATAGTTAGGTCATTCACACGTCTCAGATCTAAAGTCATTCGAATTTCCCCGTTGCCCTTTTCGACGATATGGATTGGGGAGTTCCATGCGGATGAACTCTCTTCTATGATACCGGCTTTTAGATAGGATTTTATTAATGCTCTCAAACGGGATAAATGGCATTCTGGGATGCGGTATTGGCGTATACTTATGGGTTTAGTTTGGTCAACGATCGGTTTATGTAACTCACCAATCATACCCGTTAAGTCTTCGACTGAGTCAGCGAAGCATCCCGGGTACTTTTCAAAAACCTCATAAACAAGTTTTTTTTCTTCAGAATTTATACCGTCCAACCCTTGAATCTCATGGGGTTTTATTGCGAGGCATTCGTCGAATGGCCCCCTCCCCTGAATAACCTTAGCCGAGCTACTTTCTGTCGATCTCCTCACCCCGTCGAAGATTTCATAAAGATTGTTTATCACATCCATACCTAATATACCATCGAACTCAATGTGCCCCGGTAATTGCATACAGGCGATTGTCACACTGCACGCCTGGTCTTTATATCTCACCTCAGTTCTTATGGTCCTATCACACTCAGTGATGCTACCATTTATACCTCTTATCCCTACATTCTCGTTTTCCGGGGTAGCTCTAACGACCTTAGCCTCAGAGATACTCTTCATCGAACCTAGGTCTAGTATGGATTTCTCTGCTCCCGTATCGATCAAGAAGNCCGCGCGGAACACGTGTCTGATAACTTTGGTGTTCCGGAAGTCCGCCCTTATTTCAGGGTCGGTGACATAGGTGGATAAGGCAGTGGTGTGTCTTTTATGCTTAATATCAGCTTGGTGTTCGCGTATTCGTTTCTGTGTTGATCGGATGGTGGAGCTGATGTAAACTAAGTCTCTATTGAACCTGTCGTCCCGTATGGGAATGGAGTAAACACCTGGGGCCCTGGTGAGATCGATTGCGTCCTTCGCGTTGCGCAGCAAGTCGTAAAGCGTGCCGGTTCTTAAGTACGCGATTTTGGTGCGGCTGTTGCTAGCGATCTCCTTATATAGGGGGTCTAAATGCCGGTTGAAGCGGACGACCGCTCGTCTCGCGTTCCCATCCGGTTGACGGTTGTCGTCCGGCGATGGTAGGGGGCTGTCCCTGCGGCAAGGGGGGCGGCGGGCGTATGCACGCGCTAAACCGCGGACCAAGGCTTTATTATAACCATGTTCCACGGCAATTTTTTCTATGCGTCGGATCTCCGACCATGCGTCGCGCACATGTGTGTGGTGCGTGAAAGCCCGTTTGGTAAGGGCTCGGAAAGCCGCCATTTTGTAGACAAAGGGGTCAGAAGAGCACACGGGAATGAACAGCGGGAGTTGGTCAGGTTTATGGTAGACTCTCATTTCTATCTTGCCCCCCCTGAGACGGATGTTAACATCAAGAAAATGAGCACTCGAGTTGCTAACCTGTTCTAAGCCGAGGGAGAGGCAATATGCATTGTCGTTCATACACGACAAAAAATCATCCAGATTGGGAGTGGTTTTCCACAGTATAAAGATGTCGTCCACATATCTTTGGTATAGACTGATGTTTGGTAAGAATTTGGGCAACACTTTCTCCTCCAATTGTCTCACCACCAGCTTTCTGAGCCCTTACCAAACGGGCTTTCACGCACCACACACATGTGCGTGACGCATGGTCGGAGATCTGACGCATAGAAAAAATTGCCGTGGAACATGGTTATAATAAAGCCTTGGTCCGCGGTTTAGCGCGTGCATACGCCCGCCGCCTCCCTTGCCGCAGGGACAGCCCCCTACCATCGCCGGACGACAACCTTCAACCGGATGGGAACGTGAGACGAGCGGTCGTCCGCTTCAACCGGCATTTAGACCCCCTATATAAGGAGATCGCTAGCAACAGCCGCACCAAAATCGCGTACTTAAGAACCGGTACGCTTTACGACTTGCTGCGCAACGCGAAGGACGCAATCGATCTCACCAGGGCCCCAGGTGTTTACTCCGTTCCCATACGGGACGATAGGTTCAATAGAGACTTAGTTTACATCGGCTCCCCCATCCGATCAACACAGAAACGAATACGCGAACACCAAGCTGATATTAAGCATAAAAGACACACCACTGCCTTATCCACCTATGTCACCGACCCTGAAATAAGGGCGGACTTCCGGAACACCAAAGTTATCAGACACGTGTCCCGCGCGGATCACATCCGTCACCTGGAGGCCTGGGAGATTCACAAAGCTAGCAGGGGGGACAACTGCATCAACTACAAGGACGGGGAAACACTTGCACAGGGGTGGAAGTATTTATTCGAGGAGTTCGAGCAATGGCGGTCGGAGGGGTGAAACCCGACGCGCATGTTTATTTATTTACATCGTTAGCAACATCGTTACAACGGTCGGGTCGACAGTCACCACCTGAAGCAGACCTCGGTGGAGGTCGAAAGTACTTGTGGAACTTAATAGTGAAAATAACCCTCGTAAAAAAGGTTTTTTCGTGGATCGTTATTA